TACCCACGCTGGAGTGCAATGGCGTGATCTTGGCTCACCGCAACCTCCACCTCCTTGGTTCAGGCAATTCTCCTGCCTCAGCCTCCTGAGTAGCTGGGATTACAGGCATGTGCCACCATGCCCAGCTACTTTTTTGTATTTTTAGTAGAGACGGGGTTTCACCATGTTGACCAGGATGGTCTCGATCTCTTGACCTCGTGATCCACCCGCCTTGGCCTCCCAAAGTGCTAGGATTACAGGCTTGAGCCACCACGCCCGGCCTTGTCTCAAATTTTTTTTTTTTTTTTTTTTTGAGGCGGAGTTTCGCTCTTGTTACCCAGGCTGGAGTGCAATGGCGCGATCTCGGCTCACCGCAACCTCCGCCTCCTGGGTTCAGGCAATTCTCCTGCCTCAGCCTCCTGAGTGGCTGTGATTACAGGCACGAGCCACCATACCCAGCTAATTTTTTGTATTTTTAGTAGGGACGGGGTTTCACCATGTTGACCAGGATGGTCTCGATCTCTCGACCTCGTGATCCACCCGCCTCGGCCTCCCAAAGTGCTGGGATTACAGGCTTGAGCCACCGCGCCCGGCCCATCAAATTTTTAAAAAAAGTCCTAATGGGTGGCTTGTCAATATCCCAACTAAATATTACAATTCTTTTTTTTTTTTTTTTTTTTTTTTGAGACGGAGTTTCGCTCTTGTTACCCAGGCTGGAGTGCAATGGCGCGATCTCGGCTCACCGCAACCTCCGCCTCCTGGGTTCAGGCAATTCTCCTGCCTCAGCCTCCTGAGTAGCTGGGATTACAGGCACACGCCACCATGCCCAGCTAATTTTTTTTGTATTTTTAGTAGAGACGGGGTTTCACCATGTTGACCAGGATGGTCTCGATCTCTTGACCTCGTGATCCACCCGCCTCGGCCTCCCAAAGTGCTGGGATTACAGGCTTGAGCCACCACGCCTGGCTAAATATTACAATTCTTATCAGAATTTGCTAAAAACTTCAAAATCTATCCTTGCCATGGTCAGGGCTTATAAAAATAAATAAAAATATTATTGAAAAAAAAAAATCAAAGGCCAGGCACAGTGGCTCACACCTATAATCCCAATACTTTGGAAGGCCGAGGTAGGTGGATCATCCTGAGGTCAGGAGTTCGAGACCAGCCTGACCAACATGGTGAAACTCCATCTCTATGAAAAATACAAAAATTAGCAAGGCATCGTGGTGCTTGCCTGTTATCACAGCTACTTGGAAGGCTGAGGCAGGAGAATCACTTGAATTCAGGAAGCAGGAGGTTGCAGTGAGCCAAGATCTCACCACTGCACTCCAGCCTGGGCAACAGAGCAATACTCCATCTCAAAATTAAATAAATAAATAAAAGAGAATAAAATAGAATTTTGGAGTAGAGGTGGACGTCGCGCTATATTTCCCAGTTTATTTATCTCAAACTCTTGGCCTCAAGCAATACTTAGCCTCCCAAAGTGCTGGGATTACAGGCTCAGTAAGTTTTTTCATAACATAGTAGTGGCCGGGCGCGGTGGCTCAAGCCTGTAATCCCAGCACTTTGGGAGGCCGAGGCGGGTGGATCACGAGGTCGAGAGATCGAGACCATCCTGGTCAACATGGTGAAACCCCGTCTCTACTAAAAGTGCAAAAAATTAGCTGGGCATGGTGGCGCGTGCCTGTAATCCCAGCTACTCAGGAGGCTGAGGCAGGAGAATTGCCTGAGCCCAGGAGGCGGAGGTTGCGGTGAGCCGAGATCGCGCCATTGCACTCCAGCCTGGGTAACAAGGGCGAAACTCCGTCTAAAAAAAAAAAAAAAAAAGAGATCGAGACCATCCTGGTCAACATGGTGAAACCCCATCTCTACTAAAAATACTGAAAATTAGCTGGGCATGGTGGCGTGTGCCTGTCATCCCAGCTACTCGGGAGGCTGAGGCAGGAGAATTGCCTGAACCCAGGAGGCGGAGGTTGCGGTGAGCCGAGATCGCGCCATTGCACTCTAGCCTGGGCAACAAGAGCGAAACTCCGTCTCAAAAAAAAAAAAAAAAAAAAAAAGAGCATAACATAGTAGTGACTCACGCCTGTAATCCAAGCACTTTGGAGGACAAGGCGGGCAGATCACCTGAGATCGGGAGTTCAAGACCAGCCTGACCAACATGATGAAACCCTGTCTTTAAAAAAATAATAATAACAACAAAGTATTTTAGAAACACTTTAAATGCCTATCAATACATGATTGATTGTCTGACCTCTCATTTGCAGTGGCTCAGACAATTAAGAAATCAGCTTTATTTATTTATTTATTTATTTATTTATTGAGACAGGGTCAGGCTCTGGCATTAAAGCTGCAATGTAATGGTGCCATCATAGCTCACTGCAGCCTTGAACTCTTGGGCTCAAGCTATCCTCCCAACTCAGCCTCTCTCATAACTGAAAACACAGGTGCATGCCAACATACCCAGCTATGTTTTGTGTGTGTGTGTGTGTGTGTGTGTGTGTGTGTGTGTGTGTGTTTTCTGTTTTGAGATGGAGTCTTGCTCTGTTGCCCAGGCTGGAGTGCAATGGCAGAATCTTGGCTCACTACAACCTCCACCTCCCGGGTTCAAGTGATTCTCCTGCCTCAGCCTCCCAGGTAGCTGGGATTACAGGCATACACCACCAAGCCCTGCTAATTTTTGTATTTTTAGTAGAGATAGGGTTTCACCATGTTGACCAGGCTGGTCTTGAACTCCTGACCTCATGTGATCTGTCCACCTTGGCTTCCCAAAATGCTGGGACTACAGACCTGAGCCACCCCGCCCAGTCCAGCTATGTGTTTTTTGATGAAGTCTTGTTATGTTGCCTATGTTGGTCTCAAACTCCTGGCCTCAATCAAGTGATCCTCTTCCCTCAATCTCCCAAAGTGCTGTAGTTAAAGGCACGAGCCACCAATAAGCAGCCAAATCAGCATGTTTAAACTGATAATTTAAATCAAGAATAAACAGAAGGCCAGGCACAGTGGCTCATGCCTGTAATCCCAGCACTTCGGGAGGCTGAGGCAGGTGGATCATCTGAGGTCAGGAGTTGGAGACCAGCCTGGCCAACATGGCAAAACCCTATCCCTACTGAAAATACTAAAATTAGCCAGGCATGGTGGTGGGTGCCTGTAATTCCAGCTATACGGGAGGCAGAAGCAAGAGAGAATCGTCTGAACCTGGGAGGCTGAGGTTGCAGTGAGCTGAGATAGTGCCACTGCACTCGAGTCTGAGTGAAACAGTCAGACTTTGTCTCAGAAAACAAAAACAAAAAAAGAAAGATAAATGGCTTACTGAATTTTATGTTCACAATCCTTTATTTTGAGACGGAGTCTCATTGCTATCACCCAGGCTGGAATCCAGTGGCATGATCAGTATTCACTGAAGCCTTGACTTCCCAGGCTTAGGTGATCCTTTCACTATAGCCTCCCAAATAGTTAAAGGACTACAGGAGTGTGCCACCACACCCAGCTAGTTTTGTACCTTTAGTAGAGACAAGGTCTTGCTATGTTGCCCAGGCTGATTTTGACCTCCTAGGCTCAGGAAGTCCTCCTGCCTTGGTCCTCCCAAAATGCTGGGATTATAGGCATGAGCCACCATGCCTGGCTTAAATCTCGTAATACTTTGTTTTGAGACAAGGTCTCTCTCCCTGTTGCCCCTGCTGAAGTGCAGGAGCACAGTCTCCACTCACTGCAACTTCTGCTACCCAGGTTAAAGTGATTCTTATGTCTCAGCCTCCTGAGTAGCTGGGATTACAGGCACCTGCCACCACACCCAGCTACTTTTTGGATTTTTAGAACAAATGGAGTTTTGCTGTATTGGCCAGACTGGCCTCAAACTCCTGACCTCAGGTGATCTGCCACCATACCCATCCTACAATACTTCTAACTCCGTTTATTCTACTGTACCTGCATTCATAGTAGACATAATCAACATAACTTTAATGCATGATCTAAAAATCATAAAACATCTTTTTTTTTTTTTTTTTTTTTGAGATGGAGTTTCGTTCTTGTTACCCAGGCTGTAGTGCAATGGCGCGATCTCGGCTCACCGCAACCTTTGCCTCCTAGGTTCAGGCAATTCTCCTGCCTCAGCATCCTAAGTAGCTGGGATTACAGGCACGCACCACCATGCCCAGCTAATTTTTTGTATTTTTTGTAGAGATGGGGTTTCACCATGTTGACCAAGATGGTCTCGATCTCTTGACCTCATGATCCACCCGCCTTCGCCTCCCAAAAGTGCTGGGATTACAGGCTTGAGCCACCACGCCCGGCCCTAAAACATCATATTTGACAGGTGTTTTTAAAGGCTGAAAAAGCAACAGTAAGTTTTAACCAAGTTCCCTAAAAGTTTTTAAATAAATTCTAAATCAACAGATCCTTTTACTACCTTAGGTTCATAAATTATAATAAGAACCAGTTTGTATATCACTTCACAGTTTACAAGCCATTTTCCTTTTACAATCCCAACAACGCTATGAAGTTAGTAGAGCAGGTAGAAATCACCAAAAGCTGAGGCAAAAGCTGTATTATTGCTATGCCTCCAAAGCAAAGTTTCAAGATTAGAGATGCAACTGTATTCTTTCGAAAGGAAAGATGTTTAATACCTCTGGTTTTTCAGGCTGCTATGGAGTTAATGAATTTGTTCCACTCTTAATTTTTAAAATCTGTGACTGCCAAAAAAGACATGCAGCTAGCCAAAAGAGGCATAGGGGAAATCTTTGCAAAACCCCATTTCATACAATTTCTCTATGTTTCCATCAAATCCTGTAATGAAAAAAAAAACTGTATGTTCTAGTTTTCTAGAACAACTTCTAAAAATAAGCTAGCTACGGCATCACTGCACAAGACATACTTCAGGTATGTCCAGTAATTCTTTTATGAATAACTTAAAGTAACATTGTACCAAAGGAAAACTATGTAATAGTGAAGCAAATTGTCTCTACATATAGATCACTCTACCAAGTGTCAGCTGTCTCCAAGCCCCTAGACTGTCTGCTTACCTCCAGAGGCACAATGACAGATGGTTTCTTTTTCAGCTCCTCACATTTTCTTTTCTTACAGATCTGATGGCTGTTCTTTCTGTTCTTGCAGTAAGTACATTCACCACAGTTGGTCTTCTGCTGGCAGGGTTCACAGACCCCACATCGCTTTCTTTTCTTCTTTTCCAAAGTGGGCAGCAAAGTGGTATAGGAAAAATTGGAGGTACTGACCATTGGCACTGGCATAGTCACCACTGTGGTGTTGACAACATGAACTGTGCTGGTTACACTGACCTGGGAGTTCCCGCTGTCTGATTGGCTGGGACCAGCCTGGGAGAGTTGGGCAACACCCAGTGAAGCATGGAAGAGTCCTCTCTCATGGACTAATGGGAAGCCCTGAGTGTTAGCTGGCAAAAAGCTTATATGAACCTGTTTCTCATTTTCAACATTACTGATACCCATTACTGGAGGTAATGAATTTTTCTCTGAGTTTGATGATGATTGAGGAGTGTGTCCTGAGCCCAAAGGCAAAATCTGTATAGCACCCTGGACTGCAAGTCCATATGAGACAGTGCTTTGGGGCTCAGGCCATTTGGAAGGAGCACTAAAGGTAGCAATTGGATTTGGAGGAACAGGAAGGAAAACAGGCAAGTCTGGGACAACACCCTCATTCATATCAAGAGTTTCTTGTTGGTCTAAAATAGTACCAAAGACCTCTCCTTGGGCTGGAATAGCACCAGGAATCTCGGGTGGATTTGGGGTCTCACCCAGGGCCTCAACATGAACTGGGTCAGCTCCAGGATGTTCCCATTTGTGTGGGATAGCACCAAAGGCCTGTCCTAGAATAGAGGTGGTATCGGAAACTTCCTGTTCATTTGAAGTAGCTTTGAAATCTTGATGATCTGGTTTAGCACCAAGGGTTGCTTGTTTTGAGCCTGACAAGAGGAATTTTATTACAGAGGTAGGAGATGTAGACCCACCAAGAGCCAAGCAGTTTCTAAGGTTCAATTCAGGTATAACCTTATCAATTCTGGAGGTGGGGTAGCGATCATCTTCACTTTTAATGGAATCCAGGTAAGGATCAGATAACTTCAGAGATTCCACTCGTGAACCCAACTCTTCTAACTGAATGCTGGGGTTTCCTTGAGAGGTAACTTTGGGCGTTGCTCTTTGGGGCAAAGGAGCACACACTGTGTCCTGAGCAAGCATATTTGGGGAACCACTGGTATCATTCAATGTCTGTTCAGAGAATACTCCTTCACCATAGCGTGTCCCTTCCAGGGACCCAGGAAGGATCTCAGCTGCAGGGCCACTGTGGGTAGGGATATTGATTTTGGAATCCTCAACTCTTTGGGACCAAGACTGAGTTGTCTCTTGGCTCTTACCTTTAATTAAACAGGAATTTTGTACATCAATTAGAGTCTCCATATCAGGAAGGACTTGGGTGTCTTTCATTGGAACCAAATCATTTTCTGAGTGCTTTGCTCCCAACTCAGGGAGTATCTTATAATTACAATCACGTTGGTTTTCTAAACCTTTAGAAAGTGGAACCTTTTTGGATTTGGCTATGACCAGTGGGGGTTGGGAGAGCCGCCTGCTAAGAGAGGTGCTTCGTAGCGCCATTGTAAACCCATTGCAAGTTAAGGACTCTGGGTTCTGAAAAAGAACCTCAGTCCTATCCAAACTCATGCGTGCTGCTCCAGCTCTTGTCAGAAGGCTTCTGACTGGCATGGGTGGTTTAGGTTCTGTTTTTCTCTTAACATCTCTTTCTTGAATTAATTGTTTCAATTTTCCAGGGCTTAAAGTCTTGACTGATGCCACAGTTTTGTGGGCTGCCTTGGTTGTCTTTCGCAGTTGACTGTTTTTCTTTTTTTTGTTTGCAACTTCCCTCCTGACTAATCTGGAAGGCCTTGCATGGCGGGATCGAGACATAGTTATAGAGTAGGAAAAAATGAAAGGGCACAGGAAACAGAGTCATTGGTCCTTTGGAAAGTCTCACTTCGGAGGAGAATCTGGATGCGCTGCTCTTGAGCTCAGTCACACAAGGTTTTGCTCTGAAATAACAACAAAAAACACTGAAGTGAGTCTTTTTCTATGCATTCCCCTATTTGAAATAGAATATTCACTATTAATTGTTTTATTTTTTTTTTTTGAGACATGGTCTTATTCTGTTGCCCAGGCTGGAATGCAGAGGGATGGTCACAGCTCGCCACAGCCTGGACCTCCCCAGGCTCAAGCAGTCTTCCCACTTCAGCCTCCCAAGTAGCTAGGACTACAGGCTCACACCATCACACTCAGCTAATTTTGGTATTTTTTTGTAGAGACAGGTTTTCACCGTGTAACCCTGGCTGGTCTCTAACTGGGCTCAAGCCATTCGCTCACATTGGCCTTCCCTAGTGCTAGGATTACAGGCATGAGCCCGGTCACAACTAATTAACAACTAAAAGTAAAGACCAGGAGCAGTGGTTCATCCCTGTGATCCCAGCATTTGAGAAGGCTGAGGCAGAAAGATCACTTGTGGCCAGGAGTTCAAGACCAGCTTGGGCAACATATGCAGACTCCATCTCATAAAAGTAAAAATAGTGGCTGGGCGTGGTGGCTCACACCTATAATCTCATCACTTTTGGAGACAGAAGCGGGTGGGAATTACCCGAGGTCAGGAGTTTGAGACCAGACTGGCTAACATCGTGAAACCCTGTCTCCACTAAAAATACAAAAATTAGCCAGGTGTGGTGGCAGGCACCTGTAACCCAGCTGCTCAGGAGGCTGAGGCAGGAGAAACACTTGAACGGGGGAGGCAGAGGTTGCAGTGAGCCAAGATCGTGCCATTGCACTCTAGCCTTTGTGACAGAGAGAAACTCTGTCTAAAAAAAAAGAAAGGGGCCGGGCGCGGTGGTTCAAGCCTGTAAAAAAAAAAAAAAAAGAAAGAAAGGAAAAAGAAAAACTGTTGGGTACAATGATCACTACCTGGGTGACAGGACCAATTGCACCTCAGACCTCAGCATCACACAATATTCCCAAGTAACAAACCTGCACATGTACTCCCTGAATCTAAAATAAGAGTGGAAATTATTATTTAAAAAAAAGGCCGGGCGCGGTGGCTCAAGCCTGTAATCCCAGCACTTTAGGAGGCCGAGGCGGGTGGATCACGAGGTCAAGAGATCGAGACCATCCTGGTCAACATGGTGAAACCCCGTCTCTACCAAAAATGCAAAAAATTAGCTGGGCATGGTGGTGCGTGCCTGTAATCCCAGCTACTCAGGAGGCTGAGGCAGGAGAATTGCCTGAACCCAGGAGGCGGAGGTTGCGGTGAGCGGAGATCCTGCCATTGCACTCCAGCCTGGGTAACAAGAGCGAAACTCCGTCTCAAAAAAATTAATTAATTTGGCCGGGCGCGGTGGCTCAAGCCTGTAATCCCAGCACTTTGGGAGGCCGAGGCGGGTGGATCACGAGGTCAAGAGATCAAGACCATCCTGGTCAACATGGTGAAACCCCGTCTCTACTAAAAATACAAAAATTAGCTGGGCATGGTGGCACGTGCCTATAATCCCAGCTACTCAGGAGGCTGAGGCAGGAGAATTGCCTGAACCCAGGAGGCGGAGGTTGCGGTGAGCCGAGATCGCGCCATTGCACTCCAGCCTGGGTAACAAGAGCGAAACTCCATCTCAAAAAAAAAAAAAAAAATTAATTAATTAATTAATTAATTTTTTAAAAAATCCACAAATTTTGAGCTTTTCTTTTTATTTATTTATTAATTTTTTAATTTTGAGCTTTTCACATGCATACCAAAACAGCATAAAATCTCAGGAGACAGTACTGATGAATTTGGTTACAAATAAGACTCATTGATCCAATACATCTGTTGAGCACCGGCTATGTTTAAGGAAGGCATTGTGGTGGATACTGCCCAAACCCAGAAAATGTCCCTATTTTCTCAAAGACTGCTGGTTCGGTTCTAAAATCTCTTCTACAAGGTCCCAAAAGTCTCTCTCTCTCTCTCTCTTTTTTTTTTTGAGACAAGGTCTCACTCTGTTACCCAGATTGGAGTTCAGTGGTGCAAACTAGGCTCACTACAGCCTTGACCCCCTGGGCTCAAGTGATCCTCCCACCTCAGCTGCCTGAATAGCTGGGACCACAGGCATGTGCCACCATGCCAGCCTAAATATTTGATTTTTGTAGACATGTAGTCTTGTCACTTGACTTTGGGTCTTGACTTGGGTCTTTTCAGATTGCCTACCCTGACCCAAAATAAGACAAAGCTCTGAGCAAAAACAAAGCTCACTATAGTAGGATATCAACAGTCTCTCTAAAGATCACAGAATCAAGAGTGTGACAACAGAAAATTCAGACTAGTTGTCAATTGATACCAGTTGTTGAATTCGTGAGAACACATGGTATAGGAAAATGGTTACCAACAACCAGTCTGTGATCAACTGATCAATGGTTGTGACAAACCAAGGGGAAAAAGTTGGTAATGTAAGGTTTTTCATAAAGCTGAATGTGAGGCCGGGCGCGGTGGCTCAAGCCTGTAATCCCAGCACTTTGGGAGGCCGAGGCGGGTGGATCACGAGGTCAAGAGATCGAGACCATCCTGGTCAACATGGTGAAACCCCGTCTCTACTAAAAATACAAAAAATTAGCTGGGCATGGTGGCACGTGCCTGTAATCCCAGCTACTCAGGAGGCTGAGGCAGGAGAATTGCCTGAACCCAGGAGACGGAGGTTGTGGTGAGCCGAGATCGCGCCATTGCATTCCAGCCTGGGTAACAAGAGTGAAACTCCTCCTCAAAAAAAAAAAAAAAAAACAACTCTCTCGGCTGGGAGCGGTGGCTCATGTCTGTAATCCCAGCACTTTGGGAGGCTAAAGCCAAAAGTTTGAGACCAGACAGCCTGGACACAAAGCAAGACACCTTCTCTGAAAAAAAAAAAAATATATATATATATATATTTTTTTTTTTCTGAGACAGAGTCTCATTCTGTCACTGAGACTGGAATGTATGGCATGATCTTGGCTCACTGCAAGCCTCCGCCTCCCAGGTTCAAGTGATTCTTGTGCCTCACCCTCTTGAGAAATTGGGATTATAGGTGTGCACCACACCAGGCTAATTTGGGGTTTCACTATGTTGAGCAGGCTGGTCTCCAACTCCTGACCTCAGGTGATCCACCCACCTCAGCCTCCCAAAAGCTGCGAAAAATTAAAAATAGATTTAAAAAAACAAACTCAACTGTCCTTTATTCTGAGTTTATGCTTTCCCAATTTTTCCCACTAAAATGTCTTTCTAAAAACAAGTAAGTCCTTTCTTTTGTGAAGAGGTAACGTAGATTTTTTTTTTTTTTGAGACGGAGTTTCGCTCTTGTTACCCAGGCTGGAGTGTAATGGCGCGATCTCGGCTCACCGCAACCTCCGCCTCCCGGGTTCAGGCAATTCTCCTGCCTCAGCCTCCTAAGTAGCTGGGATTATAGGCACGCAACACCATGCCCAGCTGATTTTTTTGTATTTTTAGTAGAGACGGGGTTTCACCATGTTGACCAGGTTGGTCTCGATCTCTGGACCTCGTGATCCACCCGCCTCGGCCTCCCAAAGTGCTGGGATTACAGGCTTGAGCCACCGTGCCTGGCCTAGATTTATTTTTTTATGTTATTATTTGGCAAACTAAAAAGTTTGACAGCTTTCTATCATTCTCAATCTGTTTAAAAATTACTGATCTGACCTAGGTAATAAATACTAGGACCCACTGGTTAGTTTCATGTGTAGAGATGATCTCACATCACAAAGTCCTGGGTTTGAATCTGTGATTGCCAGTCGTATGTCCTTCAGAGAACTACTTAACTAAGTCCATGCTCCTTCAACTAAAATGAAGTCGTTTTGAGGTTTCAATGGGCTCCCACAGGAAAAACCTAGTGGCACTGGTTTCATCCTTGTGGTGTCTGCGGTTGAGTGTCAGGAGACATGGGTAGCAGAGTAAAAAGATGGATGTTGGAAGTAGGCTGACCTGGGTTCAGTTTTCAGCCCATAAATTTTAGTAGATTCTGACAAGTGCCTTGGTATCTTTATACCTATGTTTCTTCATGTGTAATACAAAAGAAAGTCTAATAGTATTGACCTCACTGGGTTAGCATGAGAATAAAATAAAATAACATTGTGTAAAGGCTTAGGACAGGGCTGGCACATAATAGGTGTTTCATAAATAGGAGCTAAAACTAAAAAGGCTGTTTGCAACTCCAAAATACAAAAGAGAGAGAGAAAAAAAATAAGTGGTAGTTATCATTGTTATGGAACCAGTTTAACCCAGAGTTTGCTATATTCTCCAGAACAAGATTTCTTCTTGGTTCAGTTCCCACCTTACATGCTGCATAGGTTACACACATAAGAGTTCCCAGGGCACTACATTTAGTCAATTTAATATGTCTTTAAAACTTTTAAAATAAACATTAGTGATAACATCAAATACACAACAAAATAATGTTTTGATAAATCTATACTAAATACAAACACTAGGCCAGAGAATACTTCACTTGAATTCTTGGCATCTAAGCTTATTGCTTTCCCCTTCTTCCAAAAGAAAAAAAAAAGTTTTGGCTTGCAGTAACTCAGTCTTTGGCTGTGAAAAACTGGAGGATATTTTCTCCAAAGACCACTGTTTTTTTTACAAGATTTTCAGAAAACATAAAAATAAAATAAAATAAGAAAATAGAAAACTAAAAAAAAATTAAAAATAAAAAAAAGATTTTTAGGGGCCAGGCGCGGTGGCTCAAGCCTGTAATCCCAGCACTTTGGGAGGCCGAGGTGGGTGGAAGACGAGGTCAAGAGATCGAGACTATCCTGGTCAACATGGTGAAACCCCGTCTCTACTAAAAATACAAAAAATTAGCTGGGCATGGTGGCGCGTGCCTATAATCCCAGCTACTCAGGAGGCTGAGGCAGGAGAATTGCCTGAACCCGGGAGGCGGAGGTTGCGGTGAGCCAAGATCCCGCCATTGCACTCCAGCCTGGGTAACAAGAGCAAAACTCCGTCTCAAAAAAAAAAAAAAAAAAAAAAAAAAGATTTTTAGAA